TTCTCGCATCAACCATCTCGTCAAGTCAACCCTCAGTCTGTCTGCATCAGCACCATGGATATCTCTAACGACGTCTCAACGCCTTCGAACCATAATCAACTTGCCCATTCCAAGGCTCAGCAAGCCTACCTCAAGGGACTACACGCCCACCTCGAGGCTCTACAACCCATTTCGCGATGACCACCTGGACGACTCGATGCGCCGACGAGCAGCCATCGTCGAAGAGACGCGAAAGCAGTGGAACGTAGAGGATTTGAAGTTCAAGATCGTGTTCGTTTTGTGGCCTGTGATGATTGGGTTTTCGCTGGCGATTTAGTCGTTCTCATGGTGCTTCGGTCTCTCTCTCGTTTACTCGACTTGTAGCTACACTTTCGCTTTGTTTCTATAGACTGTATCACTACTACCCGCTGTAATATCTCGCATCCTAACCTGAACCGTACACCATCGTTCGCCATAACAGAGGCTGGATGAGTCACCCCTAGGCCTGCCTCACACCTACGATACCCCTCGGCGGCTCATATACAACCTGATCCCCTTCATTCCCTGTACCTTGTCCGTAGCCGACCCACCTCACCGGCGGACCAGCGGCGATCTTCCCAAAGTCCCATCGCGGCCTGACGCTACCCTGTTTCCCCTCGCTCGAACTACCCTCATTCGTCGCTGGACCCGCTGCTTGAGGCTGACCCTGTAAACCGCCTCCGCTGTTAAGGGCGATCATCCTCGCCCCCGCATCGCTCGGTACCGTCGACCGCAGTCCGATACGGGGAGGGTTGGAGGAGGGATGGGTGAGGTTGCCGTAGTGGAAGGATGCGAGGACGCTGTGAACGAAACGTTAGCCAGATGAAAAATTGAGATATGGCGGTAGATATATGCGCGGAAAAATGACTCACGACCTCAGAAACGGCGCACCGAGACTCCATTCGTACCCCGTTTCGGCTTCTGCGCTGACGAAGACTCGTTTCCGACGCCGGAATCGCCGCAAGTCCTCCTTTGTGCCTGCCATTCTCTCAGAACCAATACCGACGCCTCTCGAACCAGCACCGCCACCTCTCGAAACAGGACCGCCGCCTCCGTTCCTGACACTAGTTCTTCTCGTAATCGCAGAGCCGCCTCGATCCAACCCCACGACATTCCCTACACACACGTCCCTTTTCCCCATATAATACGGACTCGCAAAGTCCCTTGGGTCGATGGGAAAGAGGGTCCCGGCGATGAGGAAGGAGAGGATGTGCGGGGAGGCGCAGGGGAATGTGTTGGGTGGGGAAGGTGAAGAGGCAGTAGTGGTGCTAGTGGCGTTGGTGGATGCATTTGAAGAAGACGGACTGGGAGGGATGATGGCGCTAAGGATTTCCTGCACGATGAGAGGGGGACCGCGGATAAGTGAGCTTCCCTGTTCGTTGGTGAGATCGAACCCCATGTACCGGCTCGGGATGGGACACGCACCGAATCGATAAGCGCGGTAACAGGCTTAGAGTCCAGGCGTACGCCGTCGAGGAACACACCGTCGATAGGTATCTCCCATCTCTTCGGAGCGAACACCTATACATCCATCGATTGTCAGTTCGCCAGACTCAAAGTAGCAAGAACAAATACGCACACCAGTTTCCGCATCCCTATACATCGAGACGTTCACCCAAACCATCTCCGTGTTGTCTTTTATGGATGGCAGGAGGCCGCCGAGTGTGAGGATTCCTCGTTCCAGTTTGTGCGAGTCGGGCCAGTGTTTCGCTGCGCGCTGTAGAGCGAGACTGAACATCTGTCTAGCGAGGAATCCGGAAGAGGCGAGGCGCGCAATGAACGGTAAAGTGGAATCGGGCCCAGCTGAGCCCATGAGCCGAGCGAGCTCCCTGTACACCATGAACATCCATAACTATAACCTTGCACAGAGATTAAGGGAGAGACGTACGACTGCCCAGCAAACCCCAGCCCCATGATCCCCGCAGCGCCGAGCTCAAGCACATGCGTATCCGTGTCGGACATGGCTGCGAAGAGTTGGTTGGGTATCGTCAGATTCCCACCACCGCCGACTCCTTCTTTGGGCTTAGTCGTGGTGTTCTTAGTGGTGGCATCGTACGCTGGACTCGGAGCGATTTCTACGTTCTCCCTCCCCACGATTCCGAATGCGTGTGTGCGGGTGGAGGCGTCGCCGTAGTAAAGCTTAGCTTCTGCGGTGATGCTCTGGAAGGAGGTCGATTTGATGGGGTCGTACAGAGATACGTTGAATGGATTGGCTAAGGTCGCGTTGGAGAGAGACGATGAGGTTGAGACGAGCCATGTATCTGAGGATCCGGTGTCTGCGCTATCAAAAGTAAGTGTGCTGTTGACCTGGTCGTTACATTGACTTCGTACCTAGGAGAAGTGGGACGGTCGTTGAGCCGATGGAGAGTAGGACGGTGTAGACTCTGGGTACAGTCGGGCTAAGAGTACAGTCAAATCATGTAGATAGCTTTCGAGACATACGCATCCTCAAAGTCTCCTAGCGAAACATCCACTACTTGCCCCCCTTTGACCTCTGGACAGAGAGCGAGGGTGTATAGAGAGAGTAGAAGCAGGATTGAGTCCAACCCCTTCCTCATAAAATCCAGCCTCCCTCTGTCGTAACGAACGTGATGATGGAACGAGCGGGAGAACCTCGGCGTCGAAGATGACCGCGTTCACCCTCCTCTCCTCTCCCCACCATGTCCTCTCCCGCTCATCAACCAGCAATAGACGATCTCACTCAGCTCCTCGTACTATCGCCCCCACCATTCATATACATAACCGACCCATTGAACGCCCCCTTACTCGCGTCCTCACTCGCTGCGTTCTTTGAGGAGAAGAAGAAAGACTACGCGTACGCGCATGTGAGCGGCGTCGCGTGTTTTAACAAGAGAGTCCTATTCGATAACGTCGTCAATGGGTTGGCGGGATGGGAGCCCAAGTGGGAGGATGGAGGGAGGAATTGGATTTCTGGGATCGAAGATGGGGAGGAAGCAGATGGGGTGAGGTGGAATGAGGATTGGGGTGCGTTTATACACGGCGTACAGGCTGTTCACAACGCCAACGTCAAGGGTAAGGGGAAGGGGAAAGAGAAGAATACGATGGTGGTGTTAATCGATACCGTCGAGAAGCTAGATGCGGACTGGCTGTTGCCTCTCACTCGATTACGGGAGCTCGTACGTCCTCCATCCCCCAATGTCGCGCTGTTACCATGTGCTCAATCATGTATTATGTATCACCGTAGTCGCGGACAAATGTCACCGTTATCTTTACCTCGTGCGTCGACTGGCAGTCCATTCGCGTCGACTTTGGCGATGCCAAAGACCCGTACTATATCGACGTCGCGCCGCCCACAAAAGAAAGTCCGTCGTCCTTCTCAACTCTCTCTCTTTTACTGGTCTAACTCAATCATACGCGCAGCGACAACATCATACATCACCTCCCAATACACCCACCTATCCAGCACCTCACCCCACACGCATCCTCCATCCCTCACGCACTTCTTCACGCACTACGCAACGACAGTCGTTAACATCTGCTTCTCATGCACGACGGATTTGAAACAGCTGTGTTATATCGCGATGGCCGTCTGGCCGAGGCTTCTCGCTGAGCTACAAAACGAGCATGATGAGATGGAGGAGGAGGACGAAGAAAGACGGATCGTACCTCCGGACGAAGTAACGCGCATGAAGCTGATGAGGACGTACGCTGGGCATATAACCTCTGCGCTGGAGACGCTCCTTCCTCGTTTATATTCCTCTGCGACCTTCTCCTCCTGTTCCTCCATCACCCCATCCCACGATCGGCCACAGTCGCAGCACCTCCCCCCTCTCCCCCTCCTCTCCAAATTCATACTGATCGCCGCCTTCCTAGCATCTACCAACCCTCCAAAAGTCGACCTGCGGATGTTCGGGCGTACGAAGGAGGGGGTGATGGGGAGGAAGAAGAAGGGGGGTGGGACGCGGAAGGTGGCTAGACCGAAGGAGGGCGCGAAGGTGAGCGATTTGCGTCTTCATACTCGCCTGTCCGGAAACAGTCGTCCACATTCGCTGGAGAGTAGCATTCTAGGCTAACTCTCAATCCCCATGTAGATTCCGATCCCCCAACGCCATCTCGGCCCCACGACCTTCTCCCTCGACCGGCTTATTGGGATCTTGGGCGCGCTGATGAGTGAGTATTGGCCCGCGGAGGACGGGATATGGGAGGAGTACTCCACACGGACGGAGCGGCGGAGGGGGGTGGAGGAGAGGAGAGTGGGCGTTTATCAGGCTGTACGTCCGTCTCCTTCCCTTCCCTTCCATTCCAATTCCTTCCACTTCCATTCCCCATATCCCTTCAACGATTTCACCTTCCCTCCACACTAAACAACAAACTGCAGATAACCACCCTAACCACATCCCACCTCCTCCAGCGTATCGCGCCCCCCGACCGCATCGACGACGCCAGCTCCACGTACAAAGTCGGCCGCGGGGTTACTTATGAAGCGGTGCTGGAGTTGGCGAGGGGAAAAGATGTGGGTGTGAGTTTGGGGGATTTTCTGTGGGAGAGTTGGAATTAGCACCATGCACCGAGACAAGCCTACAAGGTGTGCATGTGGTGGGTGGGCGTCGGGACTGGGTGTTAATGAGTCTCATTTCGGGCAGGTATCAAGTATTCTCTCTGTTGTTTCTCTGTTACAGTATGTAGTATTATAGTACGTGGAATTCGCGACGGTCCTGACTCTTCTATCCACACGATGACATGGTCGACAATTGGCATCTTCATCGCGAAGCACATCGCCCCCGCCGAATGATTCCGAAGCATATTTCGACCAGGTCACCAGGAGCATTCTGCTACAGCATAGAACCACGTCAGTATAACTCAGTGATGTCGCTATGCGTGGGCTGCCCTCAGCTCTGGGTGCTAGCCTCCTTGGTAGTACGGGCGCAAAAATGACATCCAGGCTCCAGCCCGTGGTGGAAACCCCGAGCAAAAAAGAGACAATCATTGAACGTGAGATTCACCCAACGCTCAACCACTGTTGACCACCGCAGGGGTCGAACCTGCAATCTCCTGATAACACAATCGTAGTCAGACGCGATGCCATTTCGCCAGGCGGCCAGGTGAAAGCTGCTCAAAATATAATTATATATCGTATTTTCAAATGTGCGTGGAAATCCAACGCCTAGACCCTCAGAGACGAGACGAGACCCTCTGTTGGTTAGAATCTTGATTTCTATCTTTCAGCTGAGCCACACTCGCATCGTTTCCACTGCTTATGATAGGGACTACGCACGTTTTTACACCTGCACGAAGAAGGTCGATGAAAAAGGGCAGTTTATGACATCTCAGCGCCTAACCAAGGACCTGACTTTCTTCTAACAACCATCATCACACCGAAAGCTAGAATCCAATTCTGCTGTGTGTCTCTCAGGCTTTCCTTCTTCCCAAAGATTCCAGTCTTGGACCATTTATTAGCCCATGAACCTCCGATAAGCCGCCAGAATTTGAAGCTAGCACTCTAGGCCCAGGTGCTTACTTTCACTGAAGATATCCGCCTGTCGAGCGTAATCAATGTCTACGCATGGCACTTGCATATCGAAAGAAAAGAACGCACCCAGCAATTCCATGGTTTTCAAGTCCTTTTAGCCATCCATGACACCTGCACAAGCACAGGAGATGATACCACGGGCCCTGACCACGGGTATCATGTTTGATCATGAGCTATAAGTGTCTTGACCATTACGATCAACCCGGTGGCGAGGTTAGGCGAGGCAGGGCCATACGGTGAGGAACGATTCTCGTACCTCGTCGTTGCACGCGTTCTTCTGGGCGATTATCTGCTGCCGGACAAAGCTGTCGCTGAGTGCCCTGGACCTGTTGAATGTGGAGGGTGGTACTGAGGGAGTCGACGAGGTCAGGATCATACCTCTCTCCACCTACCAAGCTCAAGCTGATTGAATCCTAGCCTTCGGTACTGTTCATCTCACCGACACCCATCTTCCAACTCTCAATAACCCTTTCATATGCCGCCATACATCACCAGCACCCCCCCAAGCTGATTATCCGTCTGGTCCAACGCGGTCGCAAGAATGATCCCCTCACCTGAAGTCCCCAGCCGCATTGGATTCCCGGTCGGTCATTTGTCCCGGCTACGCAATTCTGTTCCTAAGTTCTAGACAGGTCATCCATGCGAGGTTATCAGATGGGGATACGCGCAAAGTATAAAGGCTAACGGTGCCGATAAGCACCACCCCAGTGCGCTTGCGTTCACCCAGTCCATTCCTCTCTTCCCCTGTTCAACGATCACCGCTCGTCTTCATCATGAAGTTCCTCTTGACCCTCGCCGCGCTCGTGACCACTGCTCTCGCCGCCAGCGTTGCCAAGCCTCCGCCTAGCGTCCTCTCCTACTCTGGCCCTCCCACCAAGGAGATGCACCAGATTCGTGAGGAGGCTCTCGCGGATCTAAAGAACGGAACGCAGCACCTGGTTGCCAGGGACTCTTTCGGCTCCGGTGCGTCTACGTTTCTCTCTCATCCCGCAGGACTCGATTCTGACGCAATACTCGGTTAATAGGGACGTGGTACGACGTGAACGCGGGCTACACCGCTTGCGGAACGTTACACAACAACGACGCCTGGGTCGTCGCCGTTAGCGCGGGTCTTTACGAGTGCGTTCTGCTCGCATCCTGCTGAGGGACTATATCTGACATGATATAGCTCCACCGCCGTCGACGGAAACCCGAACCACAACAGGATTTGCGGAAGGAAGATCTGGCTCTGGGGCTGGTACGGCACTGCTGTACGTTCCTACTCTCCTTCATTTTTAAGTTCAACGCTGACTTGTATTCTCTTTCTCTAGCCCACTGACGTGACGAGTAAGCTTCCCTTGTCTCCTGTCCTGCTCAATGAGGATAGCTCCTGACATTGATATCATTACAGTCGTCGACAGGTGCGCAGGCTGCGCATGGAACGATATCGACATGTACGTCTCCAAGTTGCTTCTACAATCTATTGCTCTGTTCTTATTACTGCTCGTCTGCTCAGGAGCCCATCTGTCTTCCGCTACGTCGTTGGAGACCTCGGCGCAGGCAGGAAGCCTATCGGATGGAATTGGGCGTAGTAAGGAACCGGGCCAGATTGACGGGAGGATCAGGGTCCGACGTTGACCCGTGAGGAGAAGGCCGCATCTTTTATAAGTCAACTATGTAAGTATGGGGTGTATGTAAGAGGACATCTTTAAATTTTTTATGTATGTATAATAGAGGTACGAATGTTACTTTGTATGAGCGTAATGCTGAAGGCGACCTTGAGCTTCTTTAGTCACATGCCAGATGTCTTTTCGTTCTCACGTTGATTCCGCCACAATCTTTCCCAGCAATGTCCTCTCTTCGATCCAAGCAGAAACACACCGGGGGAATCTCCGATGACAGCCCCTTCCGAGTCATCGGTATGTTAGAGAAAATTGAGAAAGAGCGACAGAACATCACCCTCGAAACTTAATCCCCTCCGAAGCCGCTGTGCCAGTAGACCCTGCGACTGATGCGCTCTTGCGAAAATTCGATAGTTTGAGTGGCTTGCTTCAGACGCTCTTGGATGTCCCGTTGGTGTGTACTTTTCCTTGGAGCGATTGTACGTGCGTAAGAGCTTACTCCTAGCGAAAACCCACGTCCATCCCAGTAAATGAGGGAAATTCGCAGTCCATTTTAGTCCATCCCAGTAACTCGGAAAACTCGATGAAATTGTCTAGTCAACTATAGTAACGCTCAGTCGATCTCAGAACACTCGCCAATTCTTTTGCCTTTAGAAATCCATTTACAAACAGACGGTCTATCACTGACCAGATTCACATTTTGTCAAGCTGATTTAGACCGCTGTCATGAAGTTCAAGTTGCAGCGAGCGAAATTGGCTCTGTTGATTGCCACTTGTACTTCACTCGCCTGCCCTAAACTCATCCCGATCCCAGCGTGCCTGCCGCGTCGCTATCTTACCTTCCACCTCTTTCGACTGCCGGTCGTCTCTCGTCGACGGTGAATGACTGCCACTAACCACCATTAACTGTACATGTAATTCATTCTGATTAATCCGAATCTATTCGTTAAGATTACTATGTTTAACTGAGGATGAAAGGGCTTGACTGAGATCAACTGCGATTGACCAGGGCTACCAGCGAACCGCGAAATTCAGAGTAGGTATGAAAATATGGGTTACAATTACTGGCATAAATTGTGGTTGACAACGGCCTACCTGCACCATCTGAGGTCAAATATGAGTTGGTCCTGATTATCTTTTCCCCAGCTAGGTTGGCCTTAGCACGGGCTAGTTGATCTCAGTCACCGACTACTCGGAACCTCTGTGATTTACTGGAATCGACGTGAGTTTTCACTGGGGCTTACTGATCGAGGTGCAGACTCCTTCGTCTTCCGCCATGAAACTAAAACTCATGGGCATCGCCCGAGCAGGCGTTCTCATCTTAAGTGACGAGGCGGGCAATGACCTCAGATCTCACATCGACAACACCCGCGCTCTCGGAAAAAACAGCTTCTGGACAGACACAGCGTTGTATCTGTGACTGGATCCGGAGCACGTGGAAAATACGTATCCAAACTCTGTATGTTTCTTGAGACAGTGTGTCTTTGACATGGCTGAATGTAAGCTTACCCCAGGACGAGACATCTGGTCGTCGACGCATGGACACGATTCTCGATCGTGCCACGAGCATAGTGGAATCCAGATCAATCAGGATAAAACAAGGAGCAACCCCGACCCAATTGGAGAGAATCCCTGAAACGAGCGCAACATCATGCTTTCCCCCCCTTTATTCACCTTCGAGGGGCTGGCTTTGGAATGATAAACCTTGCAAGTCCAAGTGAGAAGGTCCGATTGCCAATACGTGGTCCATTTCCCATTCTCGTCCAATTCCACAGTCAAAAAGATCCATGTATAGCCGTTGGTCAACGCTCCTCTGATGAAAAATTTCCTAGACTCGGCGTAAGCGCAAATGGAGCAGAGCGAAATGATTCGCAGAGTTATTATGTGTACTTCAGAGTTCTCGCGTGAGCAACCATTTCAACGACTGGGGATTCTCTCCAATTGGGTCGGGGTTGCTCCTTGTTTTATCCTGATTGCTCTGGATTCCACTGATTCCATTCAATTACCACTGTAGATCCCCGCCAGCCTGGTGGCCTTTACGGGCGATCAGTGGTTTAGCAAGATGGACCAAACGACCACGTAGTTCGAGTACATACCCCGCTGTATTGATCGCAGTGGTGTAACATGTATACACGGTCTGTCTGTGGATGGCAAGTAGATTCATGTGTATCCGTTCTATATCGGTGCGAACGGGTGTGCCCAGTATGCTGCACGGAGGCGATCTAGTACGCAAGCACTTTGGATGAACTCAAAGTCGATGTGAGCGCTCTGGTAGCACGCGAGACTCAGTGTCGTGTCATCACAGCAACCACGTCCGTCTCTATTCACCGCCTACAAACAGATTAGAAAACCGAAAGCTCATCGTTGCTCCAACGCACGCAGAACCGTCACGATTGACACCCACCCCGTGACCGCGTCGCCGGATTACCAACTCCAGCTGGCTCAGCTCAGGAGGTCAAGCGTGAAATTTAGTAAGAACTCTCTTCCTTCTCCCTCATCCTCATCCCCCCTCCCCGCCATGATCCAACCCACCTCCACCCCAATCAACCAGTGCCGCCTCGTCAAATGCTCAGAGTGCAAGAAGACTACCTGGGCTGTACGTGCTGCGCCTCTATCGTGACATCTAACCGATCTAATCTCAAGTGATAACAGGGATGCGGGCAGCACGCACAGGCGGTAGGCTACTGGGCTCCACTGCGAACTTATCATGCTGACGCACTCCATTGCTGAAGGTCATGCAAGACGTTAAGGAGGGAGATAAATGCCAATGCCCCAAGTAGCAGCGAAGGACCGACAGTTGTCTTAGGAGAGCGCACCTTGATAGGGTCGTCGTTATGTTATGTGACGCTCAGGGCGCTCCCTTGTATACTGTACCTGTCAAGGTCTAAACCCAATATTTATACTATACACATCTGTTTTTCGCGAAATCGAGCGGCGATTAGCTGATCATGAGTCCTGTTGACATCGCA